TATACAATTGTAAAATCTATAAAGAATATCTATAAAGATCAAGAACTCACAAAAGCTACAAAGTTGATTCATCTTTTATCTTTACTTTGTTTTAAAAAAAATTTTGTAAAAAGTAGATATTTAGCTTACCTTTTCCTAAAGATCAATATATAAAACTACCAAAACAGTCAGCAGTATTTACTTCTAAACAGATTTGTTGATAATATAGATCAGAAATAATACAGTAATACAAACATAACTATACATATGTCTCAAAATACTAAAAGCCTGAAAATACTGCTTCTGAACTAACTAGTGCTTTATATTAACTCTCTATGATCAAGTTAAAGATTTTTTTTTTCTACATAGTTTTTTGTTAAATAATCTAAGTAAATAGAAAAATAGAATAGTTATTTCTATTTAGTATAGTTTATAATTTTTAAAAACCTAACATAGATATATAATTGTAACTATTTGATATTTGTAAATTGCAAGTTTTATATATTTCCTTTTTTCTTAATTATTTTTTTTTCTTTTTTATTTCTTGATTTGTATCTTTTATTAATTATTTCTATAATTCTGTTTTGTTTTTTTACATAAAAAAGTTTTTTTGTTTTTTGCTTTTCTATAAAAAGATGCTATCAGATTGGTGATGTCTTATTGTAAGATAGCAGTTAGACAAGCAGGCTATCTTTAATTGGGATAGTGTAACAGGTCAACTTAAGTATCATTTGGGTAACTAAGTAATACTAAACTTATATTAGAAAAATTCTATATAATTTGTATAGTTTTAAAAATCTTAATAAAATACTAGTATGACTGCTAAAGTTAAAAAAAATAAAAAATAAAAAAAATAATGTACTACATTGGCTAATTTGAAATTGTAAAGTTGTAAAACAAAAACTTATATGTTATTGCAATAAAACAAATATATTACATCTTTTATCTATAATATTAGATTTATGGTTTAAGTTTCAATATTTTGAATTTTTTAACTATTACATCTTATTAGTAGAATTAAAGATATTATCAAAAATAAATATGAAAATGAATATCTACTTTTTTTTGATCAAAGCATATTATATAAAACCACTACTATATAATCTACAATAATAACCTGAATTTTTAAATGAATACATATAAATTAGCAAAACAAATTAAATACACATTTAGTTACTTCATATATAAATTTAAATATTGACATATTAGAATAGTAATAAACAAATAAAACAAGTTATTTAAATTTAGCAAAATTTGTATAAGACTTTTTTTTAATCTCTACAACAAATATTTCAAGTAAACATGTATTTAGTATTAGTGAAGATATAACTACTGATAAACAGAACTAACTATATAAGAAAACAGTAAGATTAAAAATGTGTCTAAGATTATAGTGAAGAGAATTTCAGAATAAATAAAATTAATTAAGCTTACAAACTTGAATAAAAATGTTATTTTTATTCTTATCATTTTTTTTAAATAATTATATTAGATTAAAAAAAAGAACACATAATATTTTTTTATTTTCAAAATTTGCAAAATTGAGACCAACTAGATATTGTTCTTATGAACTCGGAATTGGTATTAAAATTATTCAGAAATTGAAATTAAATAAACAAAACATATAACATTTTATTATTTCAAATTTTGTTACTTTTTTTTTTTTATAAATTTTAAAATAAATGGCTTAGAAAAAATAATTCTCTTATCAAAAATCTATAAAACAGAAATCTAGTTGAATGTTATTACAAATTTGGAATTGGTATTAAATTTGATTAACACAAAAGCATTATGTACATTTTATTAATATTAAGAGTTAAAATCAAATAAGTATAAAACATTTTATTATTTTTAAATTTTACTACTTCTATTTATTTTTTTTTGTTTTTTTATTTTATTTTTTTTTTGAAGATTAAACTAGTCTCTTTTAGGACTAGAGCTTTATTTAGTAAATTAAGATATAGAGACCATAGCTAAGGTCTCAAAAAAGTTACCTTATATTAGAAAGTATAACTAGCTACATGTATATTTTTGATGTTTAATTTAAGTAGTCTGTCAATAGTTTATACTAGCTGTCATATCTGCAACCCAACTAGGAGCATTGCCTATTTAAATCGTTTGTACTGCAATTTCTATTGTATTATTAGATCATCTCCAATATATATGTTAGTCAAAAAAGTCTAGATACTTTTACTCATACTCTTAGGATCTCATATCTTATTTCATGTAGTATATCCTCAAAAGCATTATTACTAGAGCCTTCTATGTCTCACATATAGCTAATCTAGTTTTATATAATATACTATAGTTATCTAATACTTATGATTATAAGAATTACCTGTTTAACTACTATATTATACTATTTCTATTTTTGTAAAGTTCACTCAAACTCCAATATCTATCTTTTCAACTTTTTCTCTTTATTCTTCTACTATTCAACTTAAAATTTAACTAACTTTTTAGATTTCCAATCCAGATAGTTCAGTATAGTATATCTTTTAATATTCTTTTCCTCTAATAATTTTGATAGCCTGGTTAGTTATATGCTTCTCTACATATCTTGTTATTTGGTTGCATATTAGTCTATTTCTTATTGGATTTTCTGAGCTTTTATTAGTCTAACAGTACTATCAAAGCTTTATGCTATCTCTTTAATTAGAAATTTCCAAGTGATATTTCATCTTCTTAGTTTCTTGATCTTTTGCATTTGGTAATCTTATTATGTGTTTGCACTGAAGTCTTATACAATACTAATTATTAACATTCTTTTATGTACATGCAATATTACATTTTACATAGATGCTTTGAGCTCTCAATGATGAGTAAAATCTGATTAGTTGTACTCAAGATTGCAGATGTCTAAATCTAACTGATTGACAAGAAACAGTTTCCTATAATACAGATTAATTACCAAATTTCATTATAGATAGGATTTGAATCTTAGATCTGCCACTTAGAAGATGACAATTTAACTATTATACTAAAATTACCAACCTTTTTTTTTTGTTTTTTTTTTATGTATATAAGTTTTAATTAAATAAATTAAAAAAAAAGAGGTATAGTAATCTAGTGAAGTAATCAGATTGTTAGTTTTATAAATAGTAGATTGGGTATTCAAATCTTATTGATAACAAAAATTTGAATAATTATTTATATAATATTTATTTTATAATAACTATTACTAATAATTGTATTAGAATATCTGTAATAACAGTTATATTAGTATAACTGGCAAGTTATAAAACATCTGTATAATGTTGAAATTACATAGAAGAATATAAACTAACAATTAGACAGTGTAAACACTAGATAAGTTTCTGTGATTATATAAATTCATTAAAATTAGATAACAAAAAATCTATTTAAAAAGATCTAAATAGAGAGATAATTGGATCTTTGATAATATTATTATAAAAACTAAACTACTAAAAACAGATACCAAGGTCATAGTATTTAGATAAATAAAAATCTTGAAATTGAAAAAAACTCAGAAGTATCACTAACCAGGTCACTGAAATGAATTGAAAAAAAAGAATATTAAGCTGACTCAATATATTAATAGATTAATTATAGTTTTATACAAATTATCTAAATTAGGAGTCTAATAAAAAGACAAAAATATACTAAAATATTAAGGATATACTGTGAAGTAAATATTAAGATCTGTATAAACTCTACAAAAACATAATAGTTTAATAATTAATCCTAACTATAAGTATTAATTTTACTATAATGATATCAGGTTAACAATAAAAATAGATACAGAAGACACTAAAAGATTTATTTTAAAGATAAAATAGTTTTAAAGTTAAGATAATGATCTAGATATTTGAATATAATCTAATAAAATTAACACAAATTGCAGATTCAGAGAATTTAAAGTAGAACATCCAAGCAGAAATATTAAGTACAGCAATTGGTAAAGAATCTTTGAACAGACTTCTTAAATAGATAATATAAAAAAATTATACATGTAACCAATTGTATGCTCTCCTGTAATGGTTCATTAAATTACATTACCAAAAAAGTAATTAATAAAAGTCAAAAAACCAAAAAGGTCACCTTAACACCAAAAAAAAAACAAACACCTTATCAAAAATCTGCATAACAAGGATCTAACTAGATATTATTACAAACTTGAAATTGGTATTGAATTAATTAATACATATTATTAAAGTCAAAGGTTGAAATCGAAATAGCAAATATAAAATACAGTATTTTATTATTTTCAAATTCTGCTAATATAAGAAATGCATTTATTGGCTTAAATCATACAGTATTAATCTTTTTTTTTTTTTTTTAGGCATATGAGCATCTATAAACAAAATTATCAAATAATAGATATTGATTGGTAGTAGCACTATTACATTAGTACATTATTATTGTAAGAAATAAAAACTTGAGCTCTATGATAGTTTTTAATTTGGTGCATAAAATCTGATTCAATCTCTTACAAACTACATGAATACATAAAATTGCATTTGATACGTACTTGTTACGAAATGTTATTTTTTAATATAATGTAAATGATTTTCAGTAAACCTATTTATGCACAATAATCGAGTCCTGGGTCGGGTTTCGGTTTTGATGATACGGTTTCGGGTTTGGAAACTGAATCGAATCGAATTTTCGATTCGAGCCCGGTTTTGTACAAAACCCGAACCGTGCGGAACACTAATACTCACCCTAACCCTAATCCTAATTTAGGCCGGTTTTAATCAACTACCCCAGTGGCACCGACAGATTTTCACTGATCGACAATATTTTAAAACCAAAAGACGGTACATTAAGGTCAGGTTTATAATTATAACGATCTATGTCTTATACTAAAATTTTGCAAGGAAATTTTTTTACTAAAGCGCAGATGGTTACATAGAGTTATGGTGGTTTTTAAAAAATGGTAGTTTTTTGTTTAATCTGACGCAAGTTTTAATCCGAGGCACGACATAAATACACAAATTGCCAAGTTCTACACGTCGTTCCTTTGTTTTTTTTTTTTTAGCATAGGCCAACTTCGTGATATGGCTAAACCAAGCAAGCTTTCCAGGTAGTTGCGTTCCGGTGTAATTGAAAGATCGAAAGGCACATAAAGAATACTTTCAGCACCACTTTAAACGCGTTATACAACGTCTGTCCTCTGGATACTTCCCGCAGATCACTCCGTAACTCACTCCATGATATCTTGTATAAAGATCCAGACTTCCGTAAAAAGTCTCAAGCCCATACTACGATATTTGGCTGGTTTGAGGATGAAAAATTATCCTCCTCCTCTACCTCCTCTAAATTGCCTAAAGGAACTACAATATTTAAAAAAACGCGACTTTATTCATCAACAGTGTATGGACCTTGTGGAACTGTCAACAACCACAGTACTAGAACCACTCGTGAGTCTTCTCCGGAAGTACAGCAAAACTTTTCCTTTACCGAAAACGAACAGGGGGCAGTAATAGAGCCTTTTGTTAATCTTGCTGAAAAAGCAATTTATGAGTTTCTGGTTAAAAATGAATCAGTCATTCCTCTAGAGGTTGTCGAAAGATTCGTGGCTAAACAGCGTCCTCCTGTTAGCACAGATTTCAATAATGCAGATCTTCTGTGCATGCTAAATTTTTTAATAGAAAACATTAACATTTTCTTAAAAAAATCTGTATTTCACGGCCGATTTAAAGCCAACCCTGTTGAATTGCTAACTAATTTTAAAATGAATATAAGAAATAAATTGGCACATGGGGTCGTGATTAATGACAAAGGTCGCTGGAGTGATCATGCGCTTCAACATGTCGCAATATTAGCGTGTGAAGTTATCATTTGTCTTAGTAAGTTGACTATGTGATAACAATTTGATTTTACAGAGAGGCATAAGCTGATTTTTTTTTGACACTAGGTGGTAATTATGAAGATGCATCTGCCAAAAAGGAAACCGTTGATAGAGAAATGACTAAAAGATGGATTAATAAAGCTTCACAAGAAAAAAATTGGACGTAGCACCTGGTGATAAAGAGAATGTTGACCCATCTCAAAAACGAAAGTTGGATGAAACGCTTGATAATATAGAGAATATTGATACACCACGGAAAAAGAAGGCTGATGATTCGAATTTCGGGGAAATAACAGATCTAACACTTGTTATTCTTGGAGAGTTGGAAGAAACCGAGAAGGGCGACAAGAAAAAGATGTTAAAATTAGCTATGGACGAAAATGAGTACATGACAAAGTTCTGGAAAATGGTAAGGGCAGAAGAAAGAAGAATTCAACTCCATAAGTTTATTCAATTTACAAGTTTAATGTTTGATGTTGTAAGTATTGAATTTTGAATTTTTTATTGCGCGATAGATCATATTACTATATAATACGCTAATGACTTGTCTGTTTTTGTATCTGTAGAATTTGAAGATAAAGAATCAAGAAGAATGAAAATAAGAGGTGTGTGTGTTGACTTAATGCAGTTGGCAGTGTGACAGGGAGAATAAGTTCTCGCACGTCGCGTCGACTCTTAGTTGGCGTGGTGTGCATCTCAGTCTGGGAGCTGATTGCTCCAAGGGTGGGAATAAATCGGCTTGCATGGAAACGTAATTGTGATCATGTGATTACAAACATTCTGAAAAAATGTAGTTACTATATTTGGAGGGGTGTAGTTTCTTCCGGCTCAGTCTGGGAATTTTCATGGAAACGTAATTGTGATCATGTGATTACAAACATTCTGAAAAAATGTAGTTACTATATTTGGAGGGGTGTAGTTTCTTCCGGACTCGTTGGCTTAACTGAGGATAAACGAAGCTACTTATTCTGTCGGTTACTCCTAATTGCTCAATTTTTATTATTTTTTTGTAACAATTTCTAACCACTATTTTTAGAATAAAAATAGATATCTTTATACGGTAAATCTTGGAGAAAAATTTTTTACTCATTACTGCGCCTATGACATGACCAAACCCCGTGAACGTGGACGTGTACTGTAATGCAATATAATAAAGTTACGCTTCTTACCTCAAGAAGAAAATTTGTATCAAGTTTTATTAAAAACCGAAATTTTATGTTCATAACGATAACGGCAAGTAAACTTTGAAAAAGCCGTGTTATTAGTAAAGTACAATTCAACCACAGTTAATATAAAAATCATAAAATAATAAAGACGTGTGATTTTTGTACTTCCTCAGAGTATGTTGGGTAACGATAACTTGATCTTAAATTCTAGGGATCGTTTACTGAGATCACAATAAGATAATGCGATGTATTGTATACAGTATTTACATGTTAGTGGCAAAACTCTGGAATACAAAAACAAAATTAAATAATGCACAATCAGTAACGCATGACGCATGTCAATATTTTTCTTAATGATACTTCGTGTCAGGTATTCCGGCGCACCTAGTACTAATAGTAAAAATTTTCAGGAAAAGTGCAGTTGTTTTTAATATTTATTGAAATAAACTAAAAACATAATTACTACTTATTAGTACTACATCAAAAAAGTAACTCTAATCCGAACGTTACATATGACCACGTGATCAAATATTAACTTTTTTTAATATTAAATGCAAAGATTAACTTTGATTAACTAGCATTAACATTAATGTTAATTATGCTCTTTTTACTCTTTTTATGCAAACATTCTTTTTTTTATTTTATTTCGGCTTTTTGTTGTGTTTTCTTTACCTCTTTATCAGCTTGTTTCTGAGCAGCTGTTTCTTTTCTTTATTTTATACTTTCTACTTTGTTTTTTGTTAACTCATTTATTTCTTTTAATGCTTGTATAAATTTCTTATTAGCAAGAAGTTGAGTAAAAAGAAGAGTTTTCTTTTTTTTGATTATTGAAATTTCAATTTATTTGTTTGCAATACTTGAGAAATAGGATTCTTAAAAGTTAGTTTTAGTAAATAGATACTAGAATTTTTAAATTTTTTAAATTTTTCTTTTAATATTGTATTTTCATTCTTTAAAAAAACAATTTTTGGTTTTAATAGTTTATTTTTTATTATAGTACTAGCTTAAATAAAAGAATAATTTTATTTAAAAAATAAAATGAATGAATAATAAATTAGTTAAGATGATAAAAATAGATATAAAAAAATAATAAATAAGTTAAAAAGAATAATAAACAACTTGTTACAATATAGAAAATATAGATTTTGTTAAAAAAATAATAATACAGTATTTGAAAGAAATTCTTGATTAGTTGGTTAAGATAAAAATAAAACATTAATTTATTTTATATATAGAAAAAACAAGATTCAATTAATAATATTAAAATTAAAAAATCAAATTTTTGTAGTTTTATAAATATTAGTAATTGTATCAAATATATAAGTTTTTATATATGCTAGACTAAACATTTTATCAAATATATATTTAGTTACTAATTTATCACTCTCACTATGAAGTTTATTACAAATTTTATTATATTTAATTTTTAGTTTGAAAAATTAAAATTTAGACAGTTAAAAAATATAAGTTGTATATAGAAAAAATATATATATATAAATTTATTTTTTATAATAAAAATTGATGCTTAGAAGATGATAAGCTTAGTGCAGTAGTTGGGTTGTCATTCTTCAAGTGGCAGGTCCAAGATTTATATATGCATTACAGTAATTGTCTTCTATTAATTAGTTGGCCTCATGTGGCTATAACTCAGATATACCAAGTTGGGTTCTACTGACATTGGGAGCTTGAGACATTTATGCAAAATGTACCATTATACATATATAAAGAAATGTATAACTGGTGTTGTATAAGACTTCAGTGTAAACTTATAATAAGATTACTGGGCATAAAAAACTAAAAAACTAAGATAACAAAAACCTACTTAGAAATTCCTAAATAAAGAAGTAGTGTGAATTTTTAATAGTACCATCAGACTAATTAAGGCTCATAAAACATCTTTATAGAAACTAAAGATTAAAACCAAATGACAAATATGTATAGAGGAGCACATAACCAACCAGGCCATCAGACTTGCTAAAGGAAAAAGATACAGAAGTATATCATATCAGAACATCTAGATTGGTAATATAAATAAGACTAACAATTCTAAGTTGTAGCTAATAAAGAATGATAAAGAAAATACCAAAAAGATATGTACTAAGATTCTAGTAAACTTTACAAGAATAAAAATAGTATAATATAGCAGTTAAATAGGTAACTTCTGTGACTGCAAATGTTAGATAACTATAATGTGTTGCATAAAACTAGATTAGTATATATAAAACATAAAGGCTTTAATAAGTTTTCTATTAAAAATAAAGTAGTTCTAAGGATACTAACTAGCATTGAAAACTTAAATGAATATAGTCTTAAAAATGTTCTTATGATACAAGAAGGATTGTATATGCAGAAGGTTTAAATAGACAAAACTCCTAGTTGGCTTGCAAGTATGGCATCTAGAGTAGAACTTATATAGTAATATATAAACAGATTACTTAAATTATATCAGCAAAATTATAGATGCGAAATATTTCGAAAGAATTTGCATAGTGCAAAAATTTCGAAATAATCTAAAAGAAATTTTGAAATTTTTGCAAAATGCAAAATATTTCAAAATATTGCAAAATAAATTTCGAAATTATTGCACTATGAAAAATGTTTTGCAATATTGCGAAAAAATTTTTTGAAATTATTACGCAGTGAAAATATTTTGGAATATAGCAAAAGAATTTATCTAAATATGTGGAGTGCAAATAAGGTAAAATAAATTAAGAAATTATTTGAA